CTACCTGCCCTCCAAGCTAGACAAGAAGATCCACTCCAGCGCCGTCACCCAGGTGGTCGCGGCACCCATTCTCTGTCTCTTCTGGCTGCTGTTCTTCTCCACCGTCCGCACAGGTAGGGGTCCGCCGGGGGGGGCAGGCGTTAAAGCAAAGGTTGCGGGTTGTTAATCACCTGACACAATGTGATCTTTGTTTTGAACTGCTGTATTACCGTGGTTACACGCTAGGCTAACGGCTAACCTCTGCAGGTTTCGTGACGCCCACCTCCATGTTCACCCTGGTAGTGCTGATCGTCACCATCGTGGTCTGTCTGTCCCACGTCTGCTTCGGACACTTCAAGTACCTCAGCGCCCACAACTACAAGGTAGCCGTCAGGACACCTCTGTGCTGGTTTGTTGGTTTTAATCAATTAATGAATACATAATCGAATGAATGCTGATGTCCGACTATCTGTGCCCCCCTCAGATCGACACCAAGGAGAGTGACGTTGACGTGGTGGAGAACGGCCGGCCAGCCAGACCATCCTCATCTCCCTCCAGTAAAACTCAGGTGAGCAACCACCTGCACCATACCTGGTCTACCTGGTCTACCTGGTCTACCTGGTCCACCTGGTCTCACCTGGTCTACCTGGCCTTAATCCTTCAAGTGCTGGTGTTGGTTGATTATTTAGAAGATCTAATTTTGCTGAAGGTTCTCAAATGTTGAATTTGCTAACGGTTGGTCTCTCCCCTGATTTTGTGTGTGTGTGTGTGTGTGTGTGTGTGTGTGTGTGTGTGTGTGTGTGTGTGTGTGTGTGTGTGTGTGTGTGTGTGTGTGTGTGTGTGTGTGTGTGTGCGTGTGCGCGCGTGTGTGTGTGTATAGCAGCAGATGTACATAGCCCAGGTGCTGCAGGAGGAGGGGGGAGTAGGGAGTGGCGAGGAGGACCGCAGCTCCTCCCAGGACGAGGAGCTGATGAACGGGGGGAACATCAACGAGGCTGACTTCCTGTCTGGCGAGGACAGCCTCATCGCTAACGAGGTCCGCCAGTAGCAGCAGCCATGAGGAGGAGGAGGGGGCGGGGCCTCCGGTGGAGAGAGAGAGAGAGAGGAGGACGTGAAGCTCGCTCTCTCATGTCATCTCTACATGCCCTCCTGAACGCACTGTCTTCACATACACTGGATAGACACTAAAGAAACTGTTACACACACACACACACACACTGTTACACACACACACACTGTTACACACACACACTGTTACACACACACACTGTTACACACACACACACACACACACTGTTATGCGCGCACACACACACACTGTTACAGTCTCTCCAGCACACCATAGACCACGCCCCTCTACTGTAGTGGCACCATGGTAACTCATTAGCATGATAGGCCCCTCCCCCTAGACTATGTACATAAAACCATGAGCCAGAAGTCATTTAGTTTAGTTTTGCAGTGGGGTCGGAGGTCAGGGGATCGGCTTGTTGTGTTACCGGGTCACCTGAGGTCAGAACCTTGGATCCTAGCAAAGACTAAAACATGCCCCTCGCCCTCCGGACACTAGCCCCTCCTACAACTCCCAGAAGGCATTGCAGCCCCTTGCATCCATGCTTTGCTTCCTGGTCTCAAAGGCCACACGCTTCCTGCTGATGTCACCGTGGTTCAGCGGCAATCAACATGCTCCTCCTCCGAGAGAGAGAGAGAGAGAGAGAGAGAGAGAGAGAGAGAGAGAGAGAGAGAGAGAGAGAGAGAGAGAGAGAGAGAGAGAGAGAGAGAGAGAGAGAGAGAGAGAGAGAGAGAGAGAGAGAGAGAGAGAGAGAGAGAGAGAGAGAGAGAGAGAGAGAGAGAGAGATGCTGTCCTGTGATTGGAGGAGCTGCCCAGCCTATCCCAGAGTCCCTGTGTCGTGTGTTTAGTCATGCGTGTTTGTGTTCAGCGCGTGAAGGAATCATGTGAATATTAGCAGGAAGGTGCGTGTCGTTCACGCCATGCGGGAACCATTCTGTTGACTCGCTCGCGTTCATCGCCCACGCAGACTGGAGACTGAAACTATGTTCTCCGGCAAAAAACCAGATTGCTGGGTGGGGGTCAATGATGTATTTGGGCTTCGACGGTGTGTCATGATTGGCAATATTGGCAACCTCTGAGAAACCGTTCATCCCGCTTGATCAATCAGTTCTGCTCAAGTCGGAGGTATGGGATCTGCCTGAACGTCCCCACGGCTCAGACTGAACGTCCCCACAGCTCAAAATGGGAAACGCAACTCGGAGGCGACGTGAGCGCGTTCCCACCGGAAAGGCGGTAACTACGGTTACTCCGGCATGGCGTGAGCGGCCCTTTAGTCACCTAGTGGCCATCTTTGTTCTAAATGCTCTGGAACCGCTAGGTGAGTAAGGCCCTTAGTGTCTTAGCTCTCACACAGTAGAAACACAACACAGCTGTCGGATGAAACCTTGTTTGCACTCTTTTTGTGGAAAATGCAGACCCAAGTGTAAAAAGCCTATGGTCCACGAGTCCTCCACTAGAAACACGGAGCAGAACTAGTCCCATTTGCCCCCCCGACCGTTTGGGTGTGGACGTTGGCAGGAATGCTAAGAGCAGGGGCTCACCAGTCTGAAGCTAAGCGAGTCTTTGATAACTGGATCCACTCCTACCGCAAGACCCATCTTCACTTTCTAAGCACCTGAGCAGAAGGTCTAGGACTCCAGATGTTCAGAGGGTTCTTCTCTCCCTCACCGGCGACCACAGAGAGGATCTGTTGGAGCTGTCCAGCTCCAGACTGAACTACTGACCTCTGAGTGTTGTGGTGGTTCATAGGTGATGGAGACGCTCCGGCACTGTGGCCCCTGCTGACCTCTGAGTGTTGTGGTGGTTCATAGGTGATGGAGACGCTCCGGCACTGTGGCCCCTGCTGACCCCTGGCTAAGCCTCGCTCGGCATCGCAGAGATGATGTCAGAGTGTAATCAAAGTAGTGATTGGGTCAGTCGGGGGATGGGGGGCGTGGCCTGGTGTTGGTGGGTGGGGTTATGTAAATTAGCAGGGGGGGGGGGGGGGGTTGATGAGTTGATCTCCTCAGGTTGCCGTGGTAACTGCATCCTTGGTTTTAGCACTTTGGACCAAACTGGTAGTCGGCTTCTCCTGCTGTAGTAACCATGGTAACACCTTTCTAGTCCTGAATCACGTGGTCCTGGTGGGGTACTGAACAATACAAACGTGATACTTAAATGTGAACGGCGGGATTTTCAGATCATTGCAATAAAAACGGCTTCTAGCAACACGAGTTCTCTTAGAGCAGCAACCACTTAGTCTCAGGTGTGTTTTCCCCCAAATAATGTTTACATCACTTTTATTTTCCTCATTTCTGTCTGTCTGGTAGCGTTTTGTCTGACGTGTGGCTGTCTGTGGCGGTTTGATACGGAGCTAGACTATGAAAGCTGTAGCCACGCCCCCACCACGGTCAAATAAATCAGAATAAAGTGAATCTCCATTGGAAAACTGCTTCTGAGAAGCTTTCCTGCAGCGGAGCGTGGCTACATGCTGGAGAACCACAGCGTTCCTGTGTCAAACCTTTTTATATTCAACCGTCTTCTGAACCTCCTTGGGCCCATGGGTGGTAGTATGGACCGGTCTGGTCTAGTCGCTGGGTGGTTGGTTAGACAGGTGGGGTCTATCTACTGGGTGGATGGTAGTATATGTCGGTGGGGTCTATTTGCTGGGTCTACAGCCACAGTTGGTTGCCCCTGGTGGCGTAACGGAGGACTGCGTCAAGACGAGATATTTTGTAAAGCTGTGTTGAACAGTGTTTGATACCGAACATGTGTTAATGAAATGTTGATGTTGTAACATGTAATATACTGACGCTATCTCTTAGTCCTTCACTTTTTTTTTTATTGTTGCTTAAGATATTTAATTTATGAAAAGAATGTGAACTTAAAGATGAATTTGTGTGAAACATAAGGGGCTAGGGAACTATTGGCTTGAAGCTTGAGGTTGGATGTGTATAAAACACAATGTATATATAGCCATCAGACTGTTCCTCATACTAACTGTCCTAGAGATGTAGTCCATGTCTCGACCACTGGGGGTGCTGTGTACGAGTATAGCGCCACCATAACCCTTCTTTTGGCTTTCTACTCTACCAGTCACTCTGCGAGACTCGGGCTAACCCTAACCCTCCCCCTTACCCTAACCCTCCCCCTGACCCTAACCCAACCCAACCCTAAATCTACATCCTGTTCATTATTGACTTGCTGTGCATCCTTTAGGGAGCATAGCGACACAACGTCAACCTTTTCTTGATCAATAAAGTTGGCGCTCATCCTTCAAAATGTCACTGTGTGTTTTGTTGGATCACAAGTCAATGATGCTGATGTGTAAATCTGTAAGGATATTATATTTATATTATATTACTATATGAGATATCTATATTCCCAACTAGATCACATCACTGTGTAACTACATAATGTATAAACCTTATTCTATAATATGACTGAATATTCATAGCAATGATGGGCAATTGTGATTCTAAGAAAAAAAAAGCAGAAGTGATCTGTTTTTATGTATTTTAATATTTTATATTTTCCTACAAAGTAGCGGCAGCAGCTGTAGCTGGACCTGCCCGGTTGCCATGACGATTAATCACAGTTCACCGTCTCAATAACACTGAAGCAAAGAGTGTTCCACAACAACGGTAGCGTAGAAACAAGATACAAAATACTGAATCCTGGAGAGTTGACCTGGTCTGCTTCTACAGACCACAACCAGATGTTCTGGACCAATGTTTTGGTCCAGGGGAGAAAGTCCAGAAGTTCTGGTCCAGGTGAGAAGGCTCAGGGGAGAAGGTCTCCTGGAGAGACAGGAGGCAGGAGCGTTGCTGTCTGGTCGGTCACGTGTTGATCACACGGAGGTTCCCTCCTTGGGCGCGTCTCCGTTCTCCTGAACACACAAGGACAGACGATGACACCTGTGGACTCTTCAGTCATTAAGCAGACACATTTACCCATAGCTTCTCACGTGTCATTAAGCAGGTAGGGTTCGAACCCACAACCTTTCGACTGGGAGTCGAACACCCTCACCACAAGACTCTCCTGAACTAGAAGACCCTGCACTCCGTCTTCAACACCACCATCACCAAGGGCGTCAGTTTGGGGGGGGGGGGGGGGGGTACGTGATTGTCGACGGGGGGGGGGGGGAGGTCGCAATTGGTTTGCACATTTTTAAAAGTGGTGGGGACAAAATTCAAATTATAGTGGTGGGGACATGTCCCCCCCGTCCCCCCCGTAATCTACGCCTATGACCATCACTGTGTGGTGATGGAGGCCATGTTCTGATAGTCCCACCTGAGTGAGGAGCTGCTCCTGGGGGGTCTGGGAGGAGGTCTGCTCCTGGTCCTGGGGGGTCTGGGAGGAGGTCTGCTCCTGGTCCTGGGGGGTCTGGGAAGGAGGTCTGCTCCTGGTCCTGGGGGGTCTGGGAGGAGGTCTGCTCCTGGTCTTGGGGGGTCTGGGAGGAGGTCTGCTCCTGGTCTTGGGGGGTCTGGGAGGAGGTCTGCTCTTGGTCCTGGGGGTCATTCAGGAGCTCCTGCTGCATGATGGCTGCCTGGTCCAGGTCTCCTTCCTGCTCCTCCTACACCAACAAGACCACACCGGCATTAACACGACGCTCCACAACTTTAGCCAACTTTGATCCGTCATTTACATCTCGCTTTCCAGATGTGTTTAATTGATATGATGATATCATATATTTAGTGGGGGGAGACTGAGCTGCTTGGCCAAGACAGAAAAAGGTTTTTATGAGCTGAAAAAATACAGCAAAAATAAGAAGTTGTGCACTCGTAGTTTAAGCGAATTGTAAAATAATGTGCAGTTTGAAAAAACAATTGTGGAAATGTAAATAGTTTTATGGCCCAATCCATCTTTTGGAGGTGGTTACCTGGAGGTCTGCGGAGGACATCTGTTCAGCTTCCATTTTCTCAACTTGGAGCTGCAGGTCAGCTGCATGCTGCTGGGCCTTCAAACAGGAAGAGGATGTTAAACAGCTGAGTGTTAGCAGGGAGCTAGCTGGGAGCTAGCTAATGTTCCTAGCGCCCTAGCACAGAGCCTGGGACGGAAACCAGGAACTGAAAGGGGCGGAGTTACGCCTTGTTTCCTGTTTCGTTATTCTACTGAAGATAAAACTCATTAGCAAGCTTTCAGGAGGGGTTTTAATACGTGTATTTCTAGTGGCCAGTCTACATGGTGTTGATTTGAAATCTTTACAGACACTTTTTCTAAGAACGTTGGACCGGATGTTTTAGCGTGTCTTCCCGCCGGGAAATGTTCACTAGTGTTCGCCGAGTTTGTGTTCACCAATTTCGCCTCCAGCAACATGACTGGTCGAAAAAACATGAAGCAAAAGAAAGTGAACTGCCCCTTCACCCAGATCTGAGTTTGTCGGCTCAGACTCAGATTATTAATCTAAAGTGTGATTTGGGAGACTAGCAGGGAGCTAGCTGAGCGTTAGCAGGGAGCTAGCTGAGCGTTAGCAGGGAGCTAGCCAGAAGGTACCGTAGCGAGCTCCTCTGTCTGTCTCTGGGCTTCTGTCTTGGCGACCTGCAGTTGTCTCTGGGACTCAGACAGGAAGGACTGGAGCTACAACACACACAACAGTTAGCTGCCTCCTCCTCCTCCTCCTCACCTCCTTCCTGATATACACCTCCTCAACTCCTATTCCTGATATACACCTCCTCCTTCTCCTCACCTCCAACTCTAACTAACTCCACATTAAGAGTACCCTAACCACCTCCTCTAACTCCACTAACTTACTCCTCCACAGTAAGAGTTCCCTAGCCATCTCCTCTGACTCTTTAGAGGAGGTGGAACCTCCTTCAACTCTTTCAAAGTAAGAGTACCCTAGCCCCCTCCTCTAACTCCTCCACAGTAACAGTACCTGGGCCACCTCCTCTAACTCCTCCCCAGTAACAGTACCTGGGCCACCTCCTCTAACTCCTCCACAGTAAGAGTACCCTAGCCCCCTCCTCTAACCCCTCCCCAGTAACAGTACCTGGGCCACCTCCTCTAACTCCTCCACAGTAAGAGTACCCTAGCCCCCTCCTCTAACCCCTCCCCAGTAAGAGTACCTGGGCCACCTCCTCTAACTCCTCCACAGTAAGAGTACCTGGGCCACCTCCTCTAACTCCTCCACAGTAACAGTACCTGGGCCACCTCCTCTAACTCCTCCACAGTAAGAGTACCTGGGCCCCCTCCTCTAACTCCTCCACAGTAAGAGTACCTGGGCCACCTCCTCTAACTCCTCCACAGTAAGAGTACCTGGGCCACCTCCTCTAACTCCTCCACAGTAAGAGTACCTGGGCCACCTCCTCTAACTCCTCCACAGTAACAGTACCTGGGCCACCTCCTCTAACTCCTCCCCAGTAAGAGTACCTGGGCCACCTCCTCTAACTCCTCCACAGTAAGAGTACCTGGGCCCCCTCCTCTAACTCCTCCCCAGTAACAGTACCTGGGCCACCTCCTCTAACTCCTCCACAGTAAGAGTACCTGGGCCACCTCCTCTAACTCCTCCCCAGTAAGAGTACCTGGGCCACCTCCTCTAACTCCTCCACAGTAAGAGTACCTGGGCCACCTCCTCTAACTCCTCCCCAGTAAGAGTACCTGGGCCCCCTCCTCTAACTCCTCCACAGTAAGAGTACCTGGGCCACCTCCTCTAACTCCTCCACAGTAAGAGTACCTGGGCCACCTCCTCTAACTCCTCCCCAGTAACAGTACCTGGGCCCCCTCCTCTAACTCCTCCACAGTAAGAGTACCTGGGCCACCTCCTCTAACTCCTCCCCAGTAAGAGTACCTGGGCCACCTCCTCTAACTCCTCCACAGTAACAGTACCTGGGCCACCTCCTCTAACTCCTCCACAGTAAGAGTACCTGGGCCACCTCCTCTAACTCCTCCACAGTAAGAGTACCCTAGCCCCCTCCTCTAACTCCTCCACAGTAAGAGTACCTGGGCCACCTCCTCTAACTCCTCCACAGTAAGAGTACCTGGGCCACCTCCTCTAACTCCTCCACAGTAAGAGTACCTGGGCCACCTCCTCTAACTCCTCCACAGTAAGAGTACCTGGGCCACCTCCTCTAACTCCTCCACAGTAAGAGTACCTGGGCCCCCTCCTCTAACTCCTCCACAGTAAGAGTACCTGGGCCACCTCCTCGGCGTAGGTCTGGCAGAAGTTAGAAGACTCCAGCTGCTTCTCCAACTGGGCCTCCAGTAACATCAGCTGCTCCCTGAGCTGACACACAAACACGCACACACACACACACACACGTTAGGACACACAGACAGACATGTGATGGGACACACAGACAGACATGTATTAGGACAGACAGACAGACAGACCGACAGACAAACAGGCTGGTTCACTACCTGTTTATTTTCACTTTCAGAGTTGACCGACACTAGAGATTCTTCCAGAGCCGTGAGCCGGTCCAGAGCCTGAAGACCACAAATGACACACATGAACCCTTGTATCCTATTGGCTACCAGCTAACCACCTCTTGTACCCTAGTGACCACCAGGAGGTCACGGTGGTCATGGTGACCAGGAGGTCACGGTGACCAGTATGTAACCATGGTGACCAGTAGGTACCCTAGAATCCAGTATCAGTCATAGTGACCAGGAGCAGCCATCCTACCTCCTGTCGCTGCTGGTCTGCCAGGGACACTCGGTCCTTCCAGACTCTCTCTTGTTCTTCTGCTCTCCTTTGCAGGCTCAGCATCTCACCTTCCTGGAGAGAAACCACATCACTCGCCTCAGAGCACAGCTCTCTGGTTTAGACCAGAACCTCAGCGGTACCGGACCCTTACAGCTTACCAGGGTGTGTATCACATGTGTATCACATATCTCATGTGTAAGTAAAGACAACGGTTATAAGAGTTATCAGTGTGTTTTTTTTAAAAGATGAAAGATCAGTTATGATCAGTAAAGTGTGAAGGTGAGTTCTCACCGCTTGGGCCAAAGCCTTCTGGTTCGTCTCAAGCTCTGCCTGGAGAACCTTTTCCTTCTCCTCCAGTTTGGTAAGAACCTCCTGAAGAACCAGAAGATGGTTTATAATGGCATGTTAACTATATGGTACCACTGGTTTATAACGACACATTTACTCCATGGTATCACTGGTTTATAAGGACATGCTTACTTTATGGCACCACTGATGCTTTGACGTGTGTGTGTGTGTGTGTGTGTGTGTGTGTGTGTGTGTGTGTGTGTGTGTGTGTGTGTGTGTGTGCGTACCTGAGAGGTGTGTGTGGTGGAGGTGGCTTGTTGAGTTTCCAGAGCTTTCTGTGTGACCAGCTCTAACCAATTATCCTGTTGGAAACCCACAGAACCACTCACATATCATCTATTCGTACAACTGTATACCTCTGACATCATCTGCTCATCTCTTCATCAACAGACAACAACAGGTTCTGTCGCTCTGGTACCAGACTACACAATAACAGACTTCAAGTTCTGAAGCTCTGGCACCAGACTAATTGACTGGTTCTGAGGTTCTGGTACCAGACCTGCTTGTTGGTGTTCAGACCTACCTGCTGTGGTTCTACAGAAACTTCTGGAAACAGGACGTGAAGACACTTCTGGACCTCAGTCTGCAGATGGGATGCCTTGTCCTCTGCTATGGCCTACACACACGTAGAACACACACATCTTACTCATCACGTCAGGCTTGAGACAGAGGTCTTTCTGATAGAACTCAATGCACTACATTTGATGGGCTTTTGTCTTGGTGTGCTGCAGGGCTCTGTACTTGGTCCCCTCTTATTCACCATGTATATAAATAATGTGGATAACGTATGTTATCCACATTATTTATGTAAAAATGGCCAACTTTTCTTGTGTGATGATGACATCATTATTTTTTGTTATGCCTCAATCTTTGCAAATTCTTTTAATGCTCTTCTAGTGTATCAAGACTAAGTAAAGGTGTTGAGGTGTTGAGGTGTTGCAGAGTTGCACACCACAGCTTGCTGGGCTTCTGTCAGTCTCTGGAGGTTCATCTTCTCTGCTGCAGACAGAGCCTCCACAGCTGTCCAGTTCTTCTCCCGTAGCTCCTGA